CAGCTGCCGAGGGCCACTGGGTCATCCTGCAGGTGGGCGGGGGCAGTGGGGCACAGCACAGGGCACACAGTCCTGCCAGTCCAGGCACAGCACGCAGAGTGACCCTGCTGGCGATGGCAGTGACACTGCCTGGGCTGGCTGGCTGCACCCAGCACCTTCCCCCTGTGCAGCCACAGCAGGAATCGGGGTGGGGGGAAGTGAGATTCTCAAGGTGCAGAGTTTCTTTTGCAGAACATCCACCTGGTGGCACGGTGGCTGAGCACGCTGGAGAAGCTGGTGGAGCAGCACAGCCTAGAAAGCCACCCCGAGTACCGACTGTACATGAGCGCCGAGCCAGCCCCCAGCCCCGAGACACACATCATCCCGCAGGGGCTGCTGGACAACTCCATCAAGATCACCAACGAGCCGCCCACAGGCATGCGTGCCAACCTGCACGGAGCCCTGGACCTCTTCAACCAGGTACTCCCGTGCTCCTGGGGCCATTCTGGGCTCCAGGTACAGCTCATCCCCTCCTGGGCTCCACAGGCTGAGCACCTCACCTCAGAGTGTCTCTGCTGCCGGGGACACTGCACCTGGAGCCAGCCCTCACCAGCACGTCCTCCTGGAGTGCCCAGGGGCCCCCTCTGGCAGGGGTTTAGGGGTAACCAGAGCTGCCCGAGGGTGTCCACACAAGGAAGTGCCAGGTTGCCAGTGCCTTTCCTGAGGCTGAACCTGGAGCTGCTGCAGCTTTGCCAGGAACAAGCTGCCTCAGCTGTCAGCAGGGCATTGAGGTGTGAACTCTGAATTCCTCCATAAACAAATGAGTGCAAAAATTACCAACGAGGAAATCATTAAAATACAATTGTGTGCCTTTTTTTTCTAATGAACACTTTCGGTTCTCTTTTGCCTACGAGTGTTCTTCATGAGAGGGGCATCTGATAGCAGTATTCAGTTGCAACCTACCCTCACTGTTCCTCTGCAGGAAATTCTGGAGCAGTGCAGCAAAGAGGCGGAGTTCAGGTGCATCCTGTTTGCCCTCTGCTACTTCCACGCCGCGGTGGCCGAGCGGCGCAGGTTCGGGACCCAGGGCTGGAACAGGTCCTACCCCTTCAACAACGGCGACCTGACCGTCTCTGTCAATGTCCTGCAGAACTACCTGGAGGCCAACGCCAAGGTGAGGGATGACGAGGTGACTGCTCCTCAGCACAGCACAGCACACATGCAGCAATTGGCCTTGCTCAGAACATTCACCGGTTTGCAGCACAAACACCATCTCACAAAGCCCAGAGCCAGGAGCAGCTCCTGCTCTGCTCCCTGCACGCTCACGCAGGGGAAGGGGATGAGTACTCAGCCTGACTGAGATGGCTGAAAAAGGCATCAAGCACCAGCCAGGCAAGCGCCTGCTCTGCCCACCTGCCTGCTCCAACCCATGCCTTGGTGGCTGGTGGGTGGTTCCACCTAAAAAGCAAAGCCTGCCCCAAGAATGCAGGTGCAGTGAGCAGGGCTGAAGACTCACCTTTAGACCTGCCCTCACAGATGAGATCAGTGCTGGTTGGAAAAAAGACAGGATTCAAACACAGATGGCTGTGTTCATAGTGGGACAGGGAGAAATCTATGGGTGATCAAGAGACACCCCTCTTCCCAAGCCTCTGTGTGCCCAGGGACTGTCACCTCCCTCACACACAATCCTGCTGCCATCACTCTGTGGCTGCATGGGGAACTCCAGGGAGAGCCCCAGCTTGAGCCTCTCCGTGCAGGTCCCGTGGGATGACCTCCGGTACCTGTTTGGGGAGATCATGTACGGGGGGCACATCACGGACGACTGGGACCGCCGGCTGTGCCGCACATACCTGAGCGAGTACGTGCAGCCCGAGATGCTGGACGGGGAGGTGTCCTTGGCTCCAGGGTTCATGATCCCTCCCCGCATGGATTACGAGGTGAGAAACATTGCAATCTTCTCTAGAAAACCCCTGCTCTGGAAAAATGGGCATGAGCACACGTTCCCCCTCACTCACCAAGGGAAAGGTAGGCAGAGAGTGTCAGTCCCCTGGGAATATGCAGAATTGCTGCAAAAGTAATTCCTGTGGTTGAGATGGAAAGGGAAAAGCTTGGCTGAGACACAAGTTAAAAAAGAGCCTCCGTGCCCACGGGCAGGTGCCGTGAAGGGCCCCACGAGTGGTGATGGGTTTTCAAGGTTGCAGGGAACTCTGGGCTCCTTTGCCTGCACTTCCAAGCTAAGGCTGACCCTGCACCCAGGCCTACCACCAGTACATCGATGACAACCTGCCAGGAGAGAGCCCCCACCTGTACGGGCTGCACCCCAATGCAGAGATGGGATTCCTGACCGTCACCTCGGACAGGCTCTTCCGCACGGTGCTGGAGCTGCAGCCCAAGGAATCTGAGGCTGCCGGAGGCACGGGTGTCTCCCGAGAGGAACAGGCGAGTAAAGCCCTTTGTGGCAGAAATAACTGATTTTTTTTAAGGTGGGGGGAAGTAATTACTTTGGGAAAAAAAACCTCTTAAGGGTGACAACTGAAAGGCTAGAGAGGGGAGGCAGATACAGGTCTGGAGACAACTGACAGAGCAGCCCATAGCAGGAAGGAAGGGATAGCAGAGGGAGGGGATTCCAGCCCTACTACAGCTTTTTAAGACCCAAGAGCAGTTAATAACAGAATGGAGTGTTAGTAACAGAGGAGGAGGTACAAAGAAACACCAGGGCAGAAAAAGAAAAAAGTCTTAACAACTTAGTTAAATGGTTCCTGCAGCACTTTTCTCTGGGCAAGAGCAGTTTATGGCATTCTCATTTCAGGTGAAGGCAGTCCTGGATGAAATCATCCAGCAGCTGCCAGACCCGTTCAACATGGAGGAGATGATGGGAAAGGCAAAGGAAAAAACCCCATACACGGTTGTAGCCCTCCAGGAGTGTGAGAGGATGAACATCCTGACCAACGAGATGAGGCGCTCGCTGAAGGAGCTGGACCTGGGACTGCAGGTACACAGCAGGCGGTGCCTGGGTCATCTCCCAGTATTGCAAAGCCCTCTCTGCTGCCTTTGCTGCAGCTCCCACCCACCAAGCTGGGCCAGGAGCACCGGGCAGCCCCAGCCTTGTGCCCCGTGAGCCCACACACGTCCCTCGGGCTGTCCCAGCACCGCTGCCGGTGACACTGCCTGGGCTTTTCTCTTTCTCAAAGGGAGAGCTGACGATTACATCCGAGATGGAAGAGCTGTCAAATGCTCTCTTCTATGACAACGTTCCAGAATCATGGACACGTTATGCCTACCCCTCCCTCCTCACCCTGGCCAACTGGTATGCGGACCTGCTCCTGCGGATCAGGGTGAGCAGAGTGTGTGTGACTGCCAGAGCCTGGGGTGCCCAGGACTCTGCCACCAGTGCGCTGCTTCATTGGTAACTGATTTATTTCTCGGTGTCAATTTAACCAGCCTGAAGTACCTGAAAAGGGCTGGTACTGCAGGAATGGGAGCAAAAGTCTGACCAGGGTTCCCATTACAGTATATCACTGTGGCAAAAGAACATCAGCTCCCCCTCCCCCTTATTACAACCCTGGGTGTCCCATAAAAAGTATTAATAAAACTGGCTTTGTTAAAAAATAACAGCAGCATTTTCTGCACTATGAATTCAGGGTTTCAGCATCATTGCTGCAGGGGAATCTGCTGCTTATTCCTCCCACACCACCTCCAGCCAGCCTCCATTCTGCAAGATCAGCTGAAGCCTGGCTTACGCACAGCAGAGCATCAGCTCTGCCACAGTGCCCTGCAGCTCACAGCACGCCCTCCACCCTAAAGGACTCTGCTGCTTTATTTTCCAGGAACTGGAAGTCTGGTCAACGGATTTTGTGCTGCCTGCAACAGTGTGGCTGGCGGGATTCTTCAACCCCCAGTCCTTCCTCACAGCCATCATGCAGTCCACAGCCAGGAAAAAGCAGTGGCCACTGGACAAGATGTGTCTGGCAGCGGAGGTGACCAAGAAAACCCGCGAGGAAATAACATTTCCCCCTAGAGAAGGCTCCTACGTGCACGGGCTGTTCATGGAAGGTAAAAGCTGCATCTCTGAGGTGTTTCAGACACGGAGCAGGCCCAGCTCAGCCCTTCTCCCTCGTGCAGTGTCAGCACTCGCTGGCGGCAGCTCAGAGCAGGGAGCCCTGGGTGCACCTGGGTCCCCCTGGATCCCCCTGGGTCCCGGCTCAGCCGCCAGCTGAGGGCAGCACTGCCCGGATCTCACAGCCCTACCAAACCAGGGATTTGTGTTTCAGCAGTTCAGGCTCCAGCTCATGAACCCCAGGGCTTCTGGAGCTACAGGGCTCTAGTGAATACATATGTCACATTCTTAGTTGATGCTTGAGTAAGACAAATTGAGAAACTTAAATCCATGATAATTACTGCTAAAGACAGGGAAGGACGCAGTTCAGCAGAGCAGCTAAGGAGTCCACTTGGACAAAAGCAGAGAGCACACAGGACAGCATATGACACATCCCAGCACAGCCAGGTCACCTTAAACTCTGCAATTCCCACAAAAAGCCGTGCTGAAGGGAGGGGTGGGGACAGAATTTATTCAGACATCCCACACACAGTAAGGCAAATGCAGTCGTGGGTCACAGTGAGATGAGAAGATGTCAGAGCTGCCCCCATGGAGCCACTCGGGGCAGGCAGGGGAGCAGCCCGGGGCAGGCAGGGGAGCAGCCAGTGCCAGCCAGTGCCAGTCGGTGCCAGTCCCTGAGCGCGGCCCCCGCTGTCCCCGCTGTCCCCAGGCGCGCGCTGGGACGTGCCCTCGGGCTCCATCGCGGACGCGCGCATGAAGGAGCTGACGCCCGAGATGCCGGTGATCCTGCTCAGGGCCATCCCCGTGGACCGCATGGACACCATCAACGTCTACGAGTGCCCCGTCTACAAGACACGGACGCGAGGGCCCACCTACGTCTGGACCTTCAACCTGAAGACAAAAGAAAAAGCTGCCAAGTGGGTCCTGGCTGGCGTGGCTCTGCTCCTAGAGGCCTAGATTTAATGACAAGGGAAAACAGCAGTACTTTTAGTTGTAAAAACCTCCCCGTTGTGTAACTCAGTCTGTGTTTGATTGTACCAGAACCGTTTTAGCAAAGTTTGAATAAAGCCAGTGCTGGAAGCGCTGCCGTGAGGAGCCTGCTCTCGCAGCACACGGGGTTCTCAGGGCGGATACTGGTTTTCCACTGGTGGTTTCTGACGTGGTGCTGGTGGGGAGCCAGACCACCGTGGGAAGCCAGACAGAACAACTGCACACAAGCGCTGACTCCTTTCCCTCTGCTGGCTCTCCATCTCCACACAGCTCTTTGTGTGACGGCTCAGTGCAAACTGAGCAGAAACTCCTCACGCTCCTGCATGGAGCATCTGTCTGGCTGGAGCAGACGCGAGAAGAAAGGGGCAGATTTGGCCCAGTTCACCCACACCCAACCTGCACAGCCCAGAGAAGGTCCAGCTGCAAACAGGCTCCTCTCTCAAGTATGTTATTTCTATTTCTAGGGTACAGAACCTACTCAGCCTTTTCTTCACAACAAATTATTTGTATCAGCATTAACACACATTAAGGTGAGTAGATCTGCCAAGGCTGGTCCCTTTGGCATAAAACAATTCACCAAAATCCCAGCCTGTGAAAGATTTGAACAATTAGCTCTAAAATAGTTACCTCAAACTTCCCTCACAGCTCACAGTCACACAAGCCCCAGAGAGCAGCTCATTTCGTTAGAGAGCAGCAGTATTTATAATCAGTTATGACTGAGTTTCACATTTACCATCGGCTTATTTCAGGTGCCAGAAATCCTGCTTGTGGCACTGCCAGATCAGAAACCCTTGCTCACACCCTACCTGCACTCCCACACCTTTTTACCTGGCTTCCAAACACCTTCCGTGCAGGATGTTACGGTTCAAGCCTCCTACTTCCAGCAAGGAACATCCCAAACCCACACCAGCACCAGGAGTCCTCTCCTGCCCTTTGACACTTGTGACATATCTGACTGTGAAGGAGCCAGGCAAACCCTGCCGAGGGGGAGCCCATGGCCAGGCAAGTGAAAGGGATGTGGGAACACCTGGCACACATACAGCAGTGCCAACCGCACAGACTGTGCCCAGCACAGGAACAGGCAGGAGGGACAGCCTGGAGCTCACAAGGGCTGCAGTCATGGGGCAGTGGAGTCACCAGGAACCCCAGGACAACACAAAACAGAAAAACAAAACCAACTGCCCCTGTTAACCAACACTACAGGGGCAAAGCAAAGCCCTGACTGGAGACAAAACATTTTAAGTATTCCAGCAATGCTTTCTATTGGCTGGTCAAGACAGCACAAACACAGTCTCTCTCTGCGAAACTCTGAAAGGGACATTTCAATTTTATTTCCAGGCATGGAAAATACCTCTGTATGGGTTCTCTGCCAGTGGCCCTTCCAGAAATTCTAGTAGACAAAACTCAGTCAGGACCTGAGCACTGATCCCAGCCAATGCCCCAGAGGAATCGAGAAGTTCTGGTTTTCCCCTCATCATCTGCATGTCCATGAACTAATTGTTCAAATCTTTCTTTCATGACAGAGCACTGCAGCTACTCACTACAGTCAGTGCAACATAATTCCCCATAATGGCAGCAAACTCACCCAAAGCAGCAACATTTCTCCTTTCAAAAGAAATTCTTGATCAAAGGTGTCACCAACTTCACCCACAGTTTCACATAACGACTTGGCTGCTCAAACGTTGATGTTGAGACCACACCTGAGCAGAGGTAAAGCTGCTCTTGCTCCTGAACAGGGAAAGAAACACCATGTCAGTAAATCCCATGTGTTAAATTATATAATGGTGTTTCAGAGAAGCAAACGCTCAGATAAAGCTGACCAGGGATCTTGCCACAAGTATGCACCATTTCTCTGCAAGAATTTGCAATTAAAACTCTACAGAGAACAAGGATAGAGGGCTTTGCCTTTTTGTGCCCCAGAGCTGCATGAGCTGAGCTTCAGTTTCAGAAAACTCCTCAAGGCCAGGCTGTAATTGCCAGAAAAGGAAACCTCACCCAAACCTCCTGGGACTGGCTTATGCGGCTCTTTCTAGAGACGGCCCAGGCGCCGTGTTTGCAGATGAATGTGCAGCCGTGATCTCAGCTAAATTACCAGAAACACTCGGGCCCCCCCAGCCTGCACCCAACTGCACGGGGAGGAAACGAACCACCCTGCTGATAACAACACTCACAGCACGTGAGAGCAGCGCTTTGATCACAGGTAACTGGGGGTTCCAGCACAAACAGTCAGGTTCCAGGATCTGCAGGCAAACAAGGGGCAGAACGGCTCCTGGAAGTTTGTTCATCATCTGTTTTTTATAATTGAAGCTGTCACAAACAGCAGAAAATACTCTGCACTATTTAAACTGAGGGTGGAACAGGGAAGCAGGAACCAAGTACTGGAAAGTAACACTAAAAAGATGAATCAAGACATTAATCGGCAATTCACTCTAATTTGAGAGCCCTCAAATGCTGAAAGAGCTACAGTCAGCCCTGCTGTGAGGATTCTGCTCCATGACCATCCATTATGGTGAGATCTGAGCACCAGAGGCAAGGCCAGTTCCCTGAATTGATCTCAGTTCATTCACAGAAGCACCCAAAGACACCCAGACCACTCACATTTCTTCCCAAATCTCAGCACACGTTTTTAAAATGGAACTGAACATTACACAGGCAAAGTGATTTCATGGCAGCATCCCAGGAATGGATTAAGTCTTCTAAAAAAGACCACAGAAAGTAAACACCCAGGCCATCTCAGAATCAGCTTCCAGCAATTGGGAATGGTTTAAAGCCCTTTCAATGAGATCACTGCAGCCTCGTGTGAGAAAATTCCTTTGTGTCACATTTCCATTGATTTTCCCCTTCCATTAGAAACAAGCAGAGGCAAGATATGAATTGAAATACTCAAGCAACTCTTCCAGTAATAGAATTGTTTTTGATTACATACACTCTGACTCATCTCAGGGAAGAGCCCTGATGCAAGAGGGCAATTCCCATTGATCTTGCAGACAATTCTGCCAGCACCTGCCTCACACAGTGCATTTCTGAGGGCTCCAAGTCACACAGAGGCACCAAACATCTGCTTTGAAACAGAACCCTGCAGAAGAAATGACTTGGGACAGTCAGTTCCAGCAGAAGATTCAGTCAAGACAGCTGGAGAACCAGGCAGGACTGGGAGGAGCAGCAGAAGTGCTGAGCATTACAAGCTTCCTAACTAAAAACAGCACAGAAAAACCCTGGGACGCTGAATATCAAACCACTTCAAAATGTTTGTGTCAAGATTATATAATGTCGTTATTATTATTCAAGATAGGAATTTTATCATAGAACCTCATGGGCGTCCCAGCCAGCCCCATCCCTCTTCCAGACCAAGCTCAGCCACTCCAAGGGCCCAGGCTCACTAGCCCAGAGCCTGCCATGCCCTGACAATGCCCAGTGCTGGGTTAAGGCTCAGAGGGGCAGCGTGGCTGCAGCAGAGGAGTCAGCAGGTCCTGCACAGGCTGCGTGCACAGCCAGCCCTGAGCACTCCCGGTACCCGGGGTCACTGGGGACACACATTCCTTCCCGTTATGGCCTCATTTCCCAGCACTGGGCACTCGCAGCAGGCAGCTCATCAATAGTCACTTCACTGACAGCTCCTCAGGACTCCCCATGCTCCAGCAGCTTCTGAGTTATTGTAGCTGGAGGCTTTTACTGCCGCTGCGTCCTCAGCACTCCCTGGGTGCCCCAGAAGTGCAACATCCCCACTGCATCCCTGAATCTGCTGCTTACCTGATGCAGCTGCTGCTGCAAGGCTTTATTTTCTGTCACTATTGCAACCTGAGCCTCCAAGTCCCGATGAACCGATCGATATCCGAAATTCGGAGAGCCAATCAGGGTCAGGCAGGGCAGGTCGCTCCCTGCCAGGTACAGCCAGAGGCCTGCAGGAAAATGAGGGAGAGGCAGCGTGAGAGCCAAGGGAATGGCCAGGGTGGGCTCACACGGTGCCTTCACTCAGAGTGAATTAAATGCTTTAAACATGGATTACAGATTCTGTACAGGAGCTCAAGAGCAGAGAGCAGCCCAGCAGGGCCTGCAGGGCTGCTCTGCTGTGTGCAGCGTGTGCCACTGTGGGGTGTGTGGGGTGTGTGGGGTGTGTGCCATGTGTGGGGTGTGTGGGGTGTGTGCCATGTGTGGGGTGTGTGCAGTGTGTGGGGTGTGTGGGGTGTGTGCAGTGTGTGGGGTGTGTGGGGTGTGTGCCATGTGTGGGGTGTGTGCCCTGTGTGGGGTGTGTGCAGTGTGTGCCCTGTGTGGGGTGTGTGGGGTGTGTGCCATGTGTGGGGTGTGTGCCCTGTGTGGGGTGTGTGCCATGTGTGGGGTGTGTGCCCTGTGTGCCATGTGTGGGGTGTGTGCCATGTGTGGGGTGTGTGCCCTGTGTGGGGTGTGTGCAGTGTGTGCCCTGTGTGGGGTGTGTGCCATGTGTGGGGTGTGTGCAGTGTGTGGGGTGTGTGCAGTGTGTGGGGTGTGTGGGGTGTGTGCAGTGTGTGGGGTGTGTGCGGTGTGTGCCCTGTGTGGGGTGTGTGGGGTGTGTGCCATGTGTGGGGTGTGTGCCCTGTGTACCCTGTGTGCCATGTGTGCCCTGTGTGCCATGTGTGGGGTGTGTGGGGTGTGTGCCCTGTGTGGGGTGTGTGCCATGTGTGGGGTGTGTGCCATGTGTGGGGTGTGTGCCCTGTGTGCCATGTGTGGGGTGTGTGCCCTGTGTGCCATGTGTGGGGTGTGTGCCCTGTGTGGGGTGTGTGCAGTGTGTGGGGTGTGTGGGGTGTGTGCAGTGTGTGGGGTGTGTGCGGTGTGTGCCCTGTGTGGGATGTGTGCAGTGTGTGCCCTGTGTGGGGTGTGTGGGGTGTGTGCCATGTGTGGGGTGTGTGCCCTGTGTACCCTGTGTGCCATGTGTGCCCTGTGTGCCATGTGTGGGGTGTGTGGGGTGCCCTGGCACAGCCCAAATCAGTGTTCTGACTGAGTGCAGCACCCCCAGCGTGCCCCAGGAACACACTGCCCCAGAACAACCCAGAGCAAGTCCTGTCACTGCATTAGAGGCTGCTTTGCACCACAGTGAATTCAGAAACACCAAGAGAAGACAAACAGGTTTCCAGTGAAGGAACCAGCCCCAAAGTCCCAGCCAGACAGGCCAAGTCTGTCCAGCCTGTCCCAGGGCCAGGGAGCAGCCCCCATCCTGGGACCATGACATGAAGAGCATCTCCCAGCTCTGGCAGGTGAATTCACATGCCACTGTGAAGAGACACGGATGAGAAGTGCAAATTATTTCACACCCTCACTTCCAGAGGAGCCACCAGGACTGAGATCAGACTCTTGCCAGGGCACCTGGCCCCCACTGCCACTGACCAACACAGCTCCCACAGCTCTGCCAGCACAGAGAGCAGGACAGAGCCCAGGACAGGTTTTCAAGGGAAAGATGGAATTATTCTCAAGCACATCACTGCAGCAGGGCAAGAAGGAACAGCCACAGGAGAATCGGGACTGCTGCCAAGGAGAGGCTGTGTGGCCACTCTGCACAAATGGAGCCAGAAAGCCTTTGCTCTCCTCAGCAGAGCCCGGGGTGAGTCTCTGGTAGAGGCTCATCCCCATGGCTGGTCACACACAGACTGCAACAAAGAACCCGTAGCATAAAAACCACCTCGGCCTTAAAATAGCAGCAGGTTTCCCAACTCAGCCCCAGAGCAGTTCCAAGAATGCCTTGAGTAAGATGCTGCCGATTCACTGCCAGTTCCTGTAAGCTGCTCCCCGCCCCCACAGCACACTCACAGGGCTGGCACTGCCCTGATGCCTCCAGCCCTGCGGGCTCACCCAGCACAGCGGGGCTGCACAGCCCACCGCGGGCCCTGGCAGCGCATGGCACAGAGCTCGTCCCCTTCTGCCACCAAACAGGACCCTGCCAGGGGCTGTCTGGGGCCTGCCCAGCCAAAGGCTGGAGCCCTGCCCAAGCAGCAGCCAGAGGAGCAGATTCCTTGCCTTCCCAAGCGTCCTGTGGCAGCCCCACAGCCTTTAGAGGTCTCTGGTTTCACGGCCATCTGGCAGGATCTGCTCCAGCAGTGACTCACCTTCCAGCAAGGGGAAGCGCGGCTTCCCAGCGCCAGTCAATTGCAGTGACAGGGTTTATCTCACAGCACGCAGCACCTGCCAGCACCCTGCCACCACAGCGGGCTTGGGAGGGACCCTGACCCCAAGGGATGCACCCCTGCCACCCCCAACAGCACCCAGGGCAGTGGCAGGTGGGCTTTGGGAGGGGCAGCTGCTGGCAGTCCTGCTCGGACGTGCACCGCACCTGTGCAGAGCTCTGCCACACCTGCATGGGCACCCACGAGAGACAGCCCTGGGAGACGTTCTGCGTGCAGATACAAACATGCTAAGGGGAGCAGCAGGGGCGTGCAGCACAGCCCCAGTGTCTGGGGATCCCAAGGGAGACTCAAGGGTGTCTCATGTCTCAGGCCAGAGAGGAAGCACCAACAGGCCCTGTCTGCTGCTGGGAATCTCCTGCCCTCAGCCAGGAGCAGGCTCCATGTGCTCCTTGTGCCCATGCCCTTCACAACTCCAAGGCTTCCTCCCTTCCCTCTCCTGTCCTTGTCCTCTCTGCCACACCACGTGGCTCCTGCAGAAGGAAATGAGGTGAATCCAACGTGTGCCAAGGGCAGAGCATGCCGGAGGAGGAGCTGCACACTGATCCTCCCAGCACTCTGAAGGGGAATGGAAACACGGCAGCAAATGTCTCCAGCTGTCCCTGCTGCTAGCAGGGGAGCTGCTGAACTCCAACCCTGCATCCCTCTCCAAGCAAACAGCCCACAGCAGAGAGCCCAAAGCACTGTCCCAAAGGCCCAGCTGGCCCAAACAGCACCGGTGACCATCTGCATTTTGGTAGCTGGGAAAAGCAGCCCCTGTTTCTGGTTTATGCCAAACCACATCCCACTGGGAGCTAGCAGTGCTCAGCAAAGGCAGAACCTGGGAATCACAGATTGCTCAAGCACGTACAGGCTGAAAGACACGGGACACCCCGGGCAGGCAGGCAGGCAGGCAGGGCCCTCCCTCGTGCTGCCCTGTGTCAGATAAGGGTTTTCCCTGCACTCCTGGCCGGGCTGGGGAGGGGCACTCTGGGATCTGTTTGTCATTTCAACACAGAGGCACTCAGCAGCACCCAGGGATTTTCGACAGTCGAGAGAAGGCTGACTGGGCATCTTTCCCTCCCCGCCACCTCTGAGCCTCCCCTGAGCACCCTGCGAGAAGCAGGGGGATGGAGCCATTCCTACCAACAGCTCTCTTCAAAACAGGCACAGCCAGAGCCCCAGTGCTCCAATCACAGCCCACACACTCCAGCTGGAGCACCGTGCTGAGCCCCTGGGAGCTGGGCACAGTGTATCCAGCAGGAACCCAGGCTCTCCCAGAGAAGACCTCGAGGGCAGCGTTCATTAACTCACTGCACGTTAGCCCATACTCCTTCCTCAGCCCTTGCCCTCTGGCTGCCCTGACTCCCATAAGCACATGCTGCAGCTCCTCACACTGCACCCCCATGAGCTGGGAACGGGAGCTGGTGCAAATCCCCCAACACTGACACTGTCCCCATACAGACCTGCTGCTGGGAAGGCCCCGGGAGCAGCTCCCTCCCAGCACCCAGAACTGCTGCAGGGTCCCCAGCAGAGCCAGCACTCCTGCCTGCTGAAACCAGCCAGGGGTACACGAAACTGCACCAGGGCACTGACTGCATCATAAACACATCCAGATGCTTCCTTTCCTTCACATCACCTTGTCATCCAGGCAGTGCTTCAGTGCCACCACAGGGACAGCTCTCACATCATCCCTGTGACTGTACTGAACCAAAGGCAAAGGCAAGGCATCCCCCAAGTGATCCAAACCCTCCAGGATTACTCAAGCACGCTGTTTGAACCTCGGAGAAGTGTTCTGAAGGTTAAGCCCAGACTGGCACCCAGCCAGCCCCTCACTCCTTTCGCAATCCAAATGCACAGCTCTCACACACCTCTGAACAAGACCCCTGGGGATAAGGGCTCCTTACCTTTGGCATGGAACGTCCAGCCAGCACGGGAGTACTCCTGCAGCTGCACCCTCTCCTGCTGCTGCAGGCAGCAGACCTCGCTGTAAAACTGATGTTCAATGTAAACGTAGGCAGCCGGGATGGCACCTGCCACCCCTTTGGCACCAAAAAACCCATTGACCTCGGGCGAGGCCAGCAGGATCCGGTACTCGGCCCTCGTGCCCAGGATGAGGTCCATGTAGGCCTGCGTCAAGTTGAAGTAGCCAGTGGTGAGGTATATCCTGGCATCCCGCTCAGCCTCTGTCAGCAGGGTCTCTGTGACCATCTCGTCTATTTGAATCCCAAAAGGTTTCATTTGGATTAAGGGATAGATCCAGGTGTCGGGTTCTGGTTTCAGACTCCCAGGTGCTTGAGAGCCTTGCTGGGATAAGAGGGAGCTGCCTGGATGGCTGCTGTGGAAAGTCTCGGCGTGAAGGCGCTCCTGCCGCGTGCGGGCAGAGTTGATGACCTCCATGACCCTCCTGTTGGCAATCTCACAGTAAGCCACTTTGTCTCCTGCAGGAAAAGCCAGAGAGATGGGTCTGAGGTCTACAGGCACACAGCTACAGTCACCTCTTACACACCAGGGAAAACTACTGACAGCACATGGATACAGGAACAAACAGGAGCCAACACAGACTGCACGTGACTCTCTGTCTTAAGCCCAAACCAGCTGTTTCAAGGTCAGCAGAGCTACATTACAGAAGAGAAATGCTCAGCAACTGGCAGCAGCCTGAAAAATCCTCTGAGAAAGGAGAGGACGAGCACAAGGCTACGCTGACAACCAAGAATGAGCTGGAACAAACAAATAAACTCCCACCCCCAGCCTGAACTTACATCACCCAGCAGCGCAAGGCCAGGACAAAAACTGATGACGCAATCAGCCTGGCATTTCACTGCCCTTCTCTGCCCAATTTTACGCTTGTTCCCAGTCTTCCTGAACTGATTCCCATTTGATTCCCAGAACAACCTCTACGACAAAAGATTAATTACCAACAATAGCAGCACATTCATAAACCCTTCAGAACACGCACACACAGAGCACCTGGAATTGCAGCTGCTAATATCAGAAAAAACTTCTCAAAGGACTGAAGTTCTTGTTTAAGGCCAATAGCAGCACATTTATGAGGCAGCAGATTTACTTCCAGTCTCTGCATGCCCTGTCAAATCAGCCTGTGACAGCCACTGTGCTGGGAAAACCCCAAATGACCCAGTCCTGAAACTCAAGCAATCTTGATTGTAATACTGGAAGGCACAAAACAAGACAGCCCACAGCCTGAACAATGGTCAGACACCCAGCAATTCCCGTATGGATGGAGTCTAAGTCATCCTTAAGCCCTGGCTGTCACCCCTCTCTCTGGATGCCATCACCCAAGCAGGTGAGACAGCCCCCTCCTACCTTGGTATGGGTGTACCATTCCCTCCATCATCTGGACTGTATCATCCTGCTGCAGCTGCAGGGACACGTCTCCAATGGCGTCCACAAGCTCTGTGAAGAAGTCTGCAATCTCGGGAGAGTCCCGCAGCAAGACGTAGCGGTCCTGACGGTTGGTGAAGTACAGATCACTCAGGTTTGCACTGAAGAGAAAGGGAAGACACAGGTTCAGAGCAGGAACAAGACTCTCAACCTCCCAGGCCAGGCTTAGGGCCTCACTCTGGGACAGCTGCACTAAAGCACAAATTGGCCATTTCCTTCAGAACCTCAAAATATTTCTCCCATTAAGAAAGGCTCGCTTTCATCTGAGAATCTCACGTGCAGGAACTGTGGTTGCTCTCTCATTCAGAAGAGCACTGATAGCATCACAATGGAGCCCAGATGCTCAGACAAGGCTGGCAGCACAGACATCCTGCCCAGAGGCCAGGGAACGACGGCACCAAGGCTGGACGCAGCAGGACTCACCCGCTCAGGATCACGTTGTCATCAAACAGATAGACCTTGATGTGCTGCAGCCCGATGGTCTCGTTGAAACGCTCTGGAATCAGCAGCCGCAGCAGCCCACGCAGGTTTGGGGTGTGGAACAGGGACACACGGACCTGCTCGGGAAATCGCTGCAGCAACGGGACCAGCATCGTTCGGGAATTCTTCCTGCCTGGGACAGAAAGGGACTTTCACACAAACATCACACAGACAGGACACACCGTGACACAGCTCCTCAGCTGGTCACAGGGTGAGCACCCCTCCCGTCCACTGGCACGTCACATGTTTTCCTTTTCTCTCTGTTTTTTTTAGATCACTTTCACTTGTACTATGTCAGTATTGAAACTGACATTCAGAATCGGCCACAGGGCAGCTCTGACACTTTTCCAGCTTCTTAACCAAGCCTCACCAGCACTGGCAACACATCTACAAGAGTCACTGTAGATGACCACAGGTTCCTGATTCAGTGTGCTGCTGCTTCCAACAATTCCCATTCTCCTTTTAAAATGAAACGTAAGTGAGCATGATGGGTAAGGGCAAATGCATTAACAAATAAACCAAGCAAGACTACACAAGTTGCACAGAGTAGTTTGGCCCTTCTTGCCCCTACCACCTATTTTTTGGAAGAAAAGCTGTTCAGCTTGAAGATTTTTTTGGGAATATGCAGTTCTGGAATACAAAAGGCCAATCCTGAAATGTGCATGCTTCAAGCAACTAGGTCCAATTGGCCAAGATACCCACTCTCGGTAGAACTGTCTCTCCAGCCTAACAGTAAAATCAGGCTCTGACAAAAGCAATGAGCAGCAATTCGTACCCCGGGAGCCCCTGGTGTAGTCGAGGAGAATGGAAACTCTGAGGTCGGGTGAGCCTTTTGCTTGCAGTGACTTCTCCAGTGTTTCTTCTAAGCAATACACCTGCAGAGAGAGTTCTCTCCTCATTACAAAAGCAAATACACTTTCCAAGGGAGGTGCTCAGCAGCAGGAGACTGTGGCCAAGACAGCTCCCACACCGTGGTGCGAGTCCTTCCTCCTTGTGCCAAGCACAGCCACTTCAGCCCTTGCATCTGCCAGCCTGGCAGCCTCCACCAGCCTAAAGCCATAGATCAAAGGGCCTCAGTTTTACATGTCCACATTCTTCAGGTCCCACAAGAGCAATTAATGTTCACAGAAAAGGTCCCAATATCATTCCCAAATCACAGACTCGCATCACCAAAGACAAACATTGGCAGGAATTCACTGCACTTTTATTCTTGAATTACAAGGTTGTTTGTCACATGCAAATTCAAATCCTGTGTGCAAGCCCAGACAAAGTTGGGCATAAATCCTATGCAGGTTCCATCCACCTTTACCCTGCCAGGGCATTTGCATCCTAACATCAGAACCTGGCCAAGGCCAGGCTACTTCCTCAAGCCCTTGGGCAAAAATGCTTTTGTTTCCAGAGGAAAGAACAAAAAAACGCAAATACCATGAAGCTAAGCTGATCTCAGTCTCAAATGCAGAACATCAACCCTTCATCTGTGTCCTGCACCTGGAGCACCAAGCACAGCACTACACACCTACAGCTCGAATCCCGTTCAAGAAAAACGCCAGGGAAAAATAGATTCCCCCGACCTGAGTTTTACAAAGCCCCCCTGAGCACTCTGAACAGCAGGCCAGTCCCTCCTGACATGTCCAGGCTAACTATCCCCCAAAGAAGTGCAGCAGCTCCCTGGCTCTATACCAGACCTCAACCAGAGGCGTGCCTCCCTTGCACATCCCTCCCCTGCACTCCCCTCCTGGCCTTCCCAACCCTTCCCCACTCACCAGCTCCTGCTCCAGGATTCCCGTTCCCAGGTACAGCGAGGCCATCACCACCCTCTGCTTGGCTGCTTTGATCTGCACCTGGGAGCAGCAAAACACAAGTTCCATTTCACACAGGCTGCCTGGGCCTGAGGAGCCATCAGCCCAGGCCTGGCAGTGCTGCACTCCCCTGGGAGGAGGCCCTCAGCCACATCTCTGCTCTGGCTCCCTGGCCCTGAGGGAGGAAAGGTAACACATGGACAGGGGTGACATAAAACACACGGAGCACTGCAGGGCCACAGCAGCACCACTGCTGCCTCTAAAACTGAAGGAAGAAACCAGTGCTTTCTGGGAAACTGAAGGGCACACTCCCAGCAGCTAAACCTATTCCATATGAGAGCAGTTACCGGCAGCAGGTGCAAAACTGGGATTGTATCAAACCATTCCCACAAGCTGCAGCCCACACCTTACCTTGAGGAGTTCATAGAATTCCGCCGGGGATGAAAGCACCTTGACATGCGAGCTGGAGATCCCAAACTCTGGGACCAGATTCCTGATCCACTGGAACCTGTGCGCTCCTTCTGGACAGAGGGAGCACGGTGGGGCTGTGACCACTGGAACAGGAGGGCTGAGTAGTGGGGCTAGAAGGAGCCATGATGATCTGTGCAAAGAAAGAGGGAGAAATTCTTTGTAGTGAAACTTTTGCTTCCCAGCAAGACTCCAAGCAGGTAAAGGAAGAGCTGCAGCCAGGGCCAATACATGGCAGGGATCCACAATGGCACGAATGCCTTTCCCTTTCCATAATCTGATCTGGATCACCAAAGCCAAATGTAGAAACAGAGAGACACAGGCAAAATGTGGGAGAACAGATCTGAACATCACCAGCTCCTTCCCTGGGCTGGCATGGAGATGAGGGGAAACAACATGGGAGGGGAAGGAGGCCGGGAGCTGCAGAAAATGAGAGTGGGGATGCTCAGGTGTCTGGCAGTGCTGTGCTGGTACCACCTGTACCTGTAACCAGACACTTCTGAATTATCTCCATCACACACACATCAGCCAACACTCCCTTCATGTCAGCTTTGTTCTCAGCTGGGCTGAAGTTCACATTTTGGGTTTATTAAAGATCATGCTGCTTTAAAGAAAAAAATGCCTCCATCCCTCAATCTTATCCAAAAACAGATCTACAGCACACGAGGTGATCAGGTGCAAGTCCCAGTAAAGGCAGAGCAATGGCACTCCGAGAATGACCCAAAAAAGGAGCGACTATGTCCCAGCAGGAATGTGCCAAGGGCCATCCTACAGCAGGGATCCATCCCCCTCCAGCAGTGCCACCGACCGAGGGTCACAACTTCCCCTGAAAACCTCACAACCCGGTGAGGGAGACGTCAGGAAACTCATTCTTCAAAAAGAAATTTCGGAACAAATTGAATTTCTTTGAAGTCACTTTGGGAAGAAACCAGCTTACTGCCAGCATCACGCAGCGGGCGACAGGAAGCAAGCGGCGACTTCTCCTCTCCGAGGTTTCCCACATGCAAATTCATCCAGTCACAGAATAACCCCCGGCAGGAGTCTGCTCGCATGACAAAACCACCTTTCAGCACAATTAGCAGCAGCAGCTCCCAGGAGATCCGGGAATCCATGAGCAAGGGACTGCAGTGCGTCCCTGGACCCACAGGGACCGTTCCAGTCTGCAAACCGCGCTGACGGGAGCGGGGTTCCTGGGATGGAAGCGGGCTGGCTGTCTCACCCTGAGCACAGCAGGTCCCCACCAGCAGCAGCCACTGTCCCGGGGCCCATCCTGATGATCCCATCCTGACCATCACCACCACACACCAAGAGGAAACTTGATCACAACCTTTACCAGAATCTGTTACGAGGAACTTCTGGCTTTTTACCACAATCCAGAGCCCAAATGAACACAGATTCCAGGAAGATGATTTCACTCATCTGGTTCATGATACAACACTGGATCTTCACAAGGTTTCCAAACATCCTTACAAGGAAACCAGTTCACAGTGGTGTTTCCTGGCAAATCCACGAGTTTGTCACTGACTATTCATGAGCACCGAAATCTGAGTCAGTCAGCGCAGGAATTCCTGGGATGGTGGGTTTTAACGGATCATGTGGACTGGGCTCAGCCTGAATACCCAGAAGTGACAGAAATCACCAGCACAGACTGTTAAAAACAATGCAAACATCCCCTAAAAGGCACAGAAGAAAATTAAAGCAGAACAGAAACACAAGAAATGCCACCTTTCAGGCACATTCTCCTAAGTCTCTACAGAACCTGAGCACAACCTTCACACACCTTTGCTCACCTCAAGCCTCACAGGCCACACACAGAGAGCAGATTGCCTCTGTTCCATCTCTGCAAGGGAGCACAGCAAAGAGAGCGACAGGAATTCACACTGGATCCAAAAACACAGGGTTTTAAAACCCACCCAATGCTCACCCCACAGAGCAGTGGCATCACTGGGCTCTAACCCAGCCCTGCAGGTCACAAACAACATCCTCTGGAATTATTCCCAGGGAGGGAGCAGTGGCAAATTTTATGTATTTTATAATAACAACCAACAGAGAAGACTATTGTCCTCATTATCCCGTTGGCCAACCCAACTCCCTTCCAGAAGCCAGACCAGTGGCCAAGCAGACACTTTCCAGAAACATGATTCCCAGAAGGCATTTTCTAGCAAGGATTGCTGGAACTGTGAGTCTAACTGCACCTGCCTCCCTGCCTGTGGCCCTGTACCTGCCTGCCTGGAGCCAGGGGCAGCCCCCAGGGCAGCTCTGAAGGCTGCAGGCAGCGATGGGTTGAGCTTGGAGCATCTGGACTCTGACTGGAACATTTGGAGGAACTTCAACCTGCAGCACCTGTACTACTTGGTTTGGTCCAGATTAATTCTGCATAGGTCAATTTATCCTCGCTAATTGCATCCTCCAGATTTTTCACTCCCTAAGTAATTTACAGTGTGTCAACACTGTTTCCTGTTTCAAACCAATACTGAAATTTACACCTTATTCAGCATTGAGAACCTTTGGCTTTTAGAATTATCAAATAAATCCGTATTTTGCTCCGGCCACAGAGCCACTGGCAGAGCAACTGGCTCTCAGAGCAGCAGCTTCTCCCACCAGTGACTGACATCAGCCCGGTACAACCTTGCAACCACGCACACACAACTATCAGAAACCATGTAACATTATGAAGAAATCATCAAAATTCCACGCTGTGACAAAACAGATTTCAGAGGAACAGAAAGTGAACTAGGGGGGAGCCTTTCCACGTACTTCACATCACTGAGTTAACCAGAAAGAGAAAACGGAATCAAAAGGAACCACCTCAGACCCCTTCTGAATAAAAAGTTTACCCTAAATAGAAACAAGGGATTTTCTGAGGTGTGTTCTATTTTTTAAAACGTAGGTTTGGTACGAAACTCACAATGCAGCTGAAACCCCTATTCACTGTAAAACCTCATCTTCAGAGCAGGAGGTGAAGTGAAACTGCGGGACACGGTGCTGTCCTTTCACCCACACAGCAGCACACGGGGGATCCACAGCGCTGCTCTGCCAGCTCAGTGACTGCTTTCCAGGGCTCAGCCGGATTTACCTGCCCTAAAAACACCGGCGAGACCAAAACACAAGTGTGGCAAGAGTTTCCTTGGCGTGAACAAGAGCACAGACTGATGATGCAGCTCCTCCAGGAGCGCGGGGACAGCCGCTGGCGGGTCCCTGTCCCTGTCCCTGTCACCCGTGCCAGCCACCGGGCACGGCGTGCCCTGCCCCTCACGGCTCCTGCCCCACGGGCACAGAGGGGGCTCACTCCTGTTTCGGCCCCGTCCCGCTCGCCCTCCGCGACCACCGGGCCCGGGGAGACTGAGCCGAACCCAAACCCGCCCAGAGAGCTGAGCTGTGACAGCCGCGGGGACAGCGGGAGGCACGGCGATGGGAAATGGAGGGGAAATAACGCTCAGCTGCCGTCCCGAGAGCGATCGGACACTGGGGCGAGCCAGAGGGGTCTGCGAGAGCAGAGCCGAACCCGGCTCCGACCCCGGCCTGGGGATACCGGGCTGCCCTTCAACTCACGCGGCTTTTCCAAGAGGCTGGGCCGGGCCGGAAAGGGGAAGCGGCGAGCGGGGGATGCCCCGGTAACGCGACACCGACTGCGGGGGCGGCCGAGGGCTCCCGCTGCCTCGCAGCCCCGGCGGGCTCCCGGCCGGTCCTTACCTGCGGGCGCGGCGGTCGCGACCGCGGGAGAGGCGGTCGGAGAGGCGGCCGAGCAGCGCGGCCAGGCCGAGGCCGCCCCGTGGCAGCCAGGCCGAGAGCCGCCGCCACAGCGCCGCGCCGCCCGCCGCCATCGCCGGCGCCTTCCGCTTCCGCGCTGCCATGGCGACACCGCCTTCCGCTTCCGCTTCCGCCCCGCCCGGCCCGGCCCGGCCCGCGGCCCCCGGGAGCCCCGGCCCGGGCGCGCGGGGTGTCCGCCGCCCTTCCCCGCCGTGCCGCCCGGCCTGCGAGCGCGGAGCCCGTGGAGGGCCGGGAAGGCTCCGGGAGGAGCGCACGGAGGGCTCGTTATGCGGCGGGGCCGCGCCGGGGCTCCCCCGGTCCGCACACGTGGGACGGGCTCACGCGGAGCCGGATCGCCTGCCCGGCAATGTCACTCCCCGGTGTCTCTTATCCCCCCTGGGCGAGCCCCGGCGCGGCTGAACGGCTCCGAAGGGACGTACGCGGTTCTTGCCCGCGGCAGAACGGGCGCTCGCCGCCCCGCCGGACAGGGCAGAGCCCGGGAACCGCGGGTCCCCCCGCCAGGGTTCCCCCCAGCCCGGGGAGCCGGTCCCGGCGGGGAGCCCCGGAGCCGCGCCGTGCCCGTCCCGTCCCTCCCCCGCTATCCCTGCCCGCCCCGGCAGCGCTCCGGGGCTCGTTTGCATTTCAGAGCAGCCGGTTCGCCGGCGCTGATTCCCAGAACTGCCGCACGGGGTTGGTCTCTGCCGGGCAGCGGCCGCTCCTCCGGGGCAAATTACACTGTTTAAAATAAACCCACGGACAGAGCTCGGGTTGTGTGCGAGCTCGGAACCAACAATTGCCAAACGGGTGGGGAGGGGAGCTCCGGCGCCGCTCCTCCCGCCGGGCACGGTCCCCACCGGGGCTCGGGCCGAGGGCCCGGGGCGGGCGGGGGGCTGAGGAGTTCCCGAGCCCCGGGGAGCAGCCATGGGCAGGGGGCTCGGTTCTGCCGGGCTCCCCACCAGCCCACACGGCCCGCAGACCGGCCGAAGCACCAACCGCGCGGATCTCCGGGGCTCCCGTAGCCTCCGCCGCCCGGAGCGGAGCCGGGAGCTCCCGCACAGCCCCGGGCGCGGATTCCCGCTCGTCCCCGGCCTGAGGGTACCCCGCGGGTCCCCCAGGAAGCGCGGCCGAGGCTGGCCTTGCTCGGAAATCAGGGCTGGGAACGTGGGACCGGCAGCCCCCGCTCCGTGTACCCCGGTGTGCCCCCGGTGTGTCCCCCATCAGCCGAGCCCAGACTCTGGCCAGGGCGGGCCCGCGGCCCGGCTGCCCCGGCAGAGCGGGGGGCGGCGAAGGCCCCCAGGGGCCGGCCCGGGCTCTCCGCTTCTCCGCAGGCCGCGGGCGGGGGCAGCCGCCCTGCCCAGAATGGGCTGTCGGGGCCGGGCCGGAGCGGGAAGGGCCGGGGCTGGGCCGGTGGGGCCAGGCCGGGGGCCCGGCGCGGGCAGAGCGGGGCTGGCGGCGCGCCGGGGGGCCGGGCCGGGCCGGGCCGGGCCGGGCGGGGCGCGGGCGGTGCCGCCGCGTTACAAGAAGCCGCGCAGTTCCAGGAACCCGAGGGCGGGCGTTGCGCCTGCTATAAGAGGCCGCCCCGGGCCGCCTCGGCAGCTTCGCCGCCGCGCACCGGCTCCGCTCTGCCGCCAGGACCGGCTCCCGCGCCACAGGTACGGCCGCGGGAGGGATCCCCGAGAGGACGGGGGGACAGCGGGGTGCCTTCGCTAGGGGGGGGCGATCGCCGCGTACCGGGGATGCCGGTGCTGCCCAGGGAAGGGGATCCCGGGGATGTTGGTGCCTCAGCGGGGCGATAACCGGTGCGCTGGGTACCGGTGTGCCCCCGGGCGTAGGAGAGCAGGAGACCATCGGGAGCGGTGCTCTAGAGAGGGGAGGGAGCGGGAGAGCGCAGGTGTGCCCGTGCTCCCGGGAGGGAAGAGCCGGCCACGGCAGTGCCGCTGTCGCGAGAGGACAGTCGCCGGGAACGGGGGCTGCCGGTTCCCCCGGGAAGGGAGAGCTGGGCAGGGGGGCTGCCGGCTTTTCTGGGAACGAGAGCTGGGGAAGGGCATTGCCGGGAACCGGCAGCGCTGTTGCTGCGGGAGGATAACGACCAGGGACCGGGGGTGCAGGTGTTCCGGGGAGGGAGAGTCGGGGACCGGAGTGCCGGGGCTCACCGCTCTCTCCGCCGCAGGTGATGGTGTAGCAGCGGCTGCTGCTGGCAGCAGCACCCAGAGCACACGAAGCTGGCTCCCTGCGCCATGGTCACCCACAGCAAGTTCCCCGCCGCCGGGATGAGCCGCCCCCTCGACACCAGCCTGCGCCTCAAGACGTTCAGCTCCAAGAGCGAGTACCAGCTGGTGGTGAACACCGTACGCAAGCTGCAGGAGAGCGGCTTCTATTGGAGCACGGTGACAGGTGGCGAGGCCAACCTACTGCTGAGCACCGAGCCGGCCGGCACCTTCCTCATCAGGGACAGCTCGGACCAGAGGCACTTCTTCACCCTCAGCGTCAAGACGGAGTCGGGCACCAAGAACCTGCGCATCCAGTGCGAGGGTGGCAGCTTCTCCCTGCAGAGCGATCCCCACAGCAGCCAGCCCGTGCCCCGCTTCGACTGCGTGCTCAAGCTGGTCCATCACTACATGCCACCCACGCCCTGCGCCGTGCCCGAGCAGCCTGGGGCGGCCCTGCACCCCAAGCGCACCTACTACATCTACTCAGGCGGCGAGAAGATCCCCCTGGTGCTGAGCCGCCCGCTCTCCTCCAGCGTCTCCACCCTGCAGCACCTCTGCCGCAAGACCGTCAACGGGCACCTGGACTCCTATGAGAAGATGACTCAGCTGCCAGCCCCCATCAAGGAGTTCCTGGACCAGTACGATGCCCCTCTCTAGGGGGCCGGCGGAGCAAGGTCACATCTACAAGCACAAGAGCAGGGGACAGGCACCATGCCCCTCCGGCACAGGCGCTGGCAGGGCACGCCGAGCCTCTCCATACGGCAAGGAGAGAGGGGAGCTGGGGCAGGCTGCCACAGGACTGTGGCCAGCATAGCTGGGCACCCTTGGTGCTGCGGGGACTCCTCATCAAGCGTGACGCCTCCTCTCCACGGGGAAGAAGACGGCTCCGAGCAGACTGTGGATGTTACAGTGAACCCATGGCAAAGTCCCTGTGGGCTTGGGCAGGCAGGACAGCTCCCACAGCGTGGGGGAACGCGTGCCCCACCAGCCCCATCCTGGGGATGTCCTGGTGAGAGCCCCTTCCATCCTGAGAAATGGAAAGCACTGGAGCCCAGGAGTGCCTGATCACTTTTCCTCAGTTTTAAGGGGAAGGTGTTTTTTGCCCATACTGTACCTCTTGCTGCCTCCTTGTGGGTGAAGGCTCCTTTCACATCAAGCCCCAGACTAAGAGGTCGATGCCTTTGCCCCGCGTTGCCATTTTCCAGGGGACTAAGCCTTAATATCCCCCCTGCCCGGCGGTCTGGGTCAGTGCGCTTCAGCTGGTGACGATGCAGCGATGGTCCTGCTGGTGTGCTGTGAAGCTGGAGAGGAAACAGTGCTGCTGAGTCCCACACAAGCGCATCTGCAAGGATCACCCCGAGGACGCTGGGCCCCCAGTCCCTGCAGTCACACCCCCCTCTGCCCAGCCACTCCCGCAGCCCCCGGCTGTGCTGCTCTGCAGGGCACCAATTCCCTGCGAGTGCAGCAGGACCATCCCCTGGAGCGTGTCATCTCGTCAGTGCTTTTCTGCGTCCGCCCAGAGAAGTGGTTGGGTTTTCTGGCTTTTTTTAATTTTTATTCTTATTTTTTTAACCGAAGGGATGTTTACAGGCCAACGTGAATCACTGTCTTTTATAAAGATTCCATCTTCACCTCCAGCCTTGAGGGCTGAGCAAAACAATGCTTGAAAATTCAACCAAAACCAAACTCAGATGAAACTTTGCACATATTTATATTTATATTCAGAAAGAAAATGTTTCCATAATTTATAATAAAGAGCACTATTTTTTAATGAAAACCATCGGATTCGGTTTGATTTCTCTCTCGCACCCCCGAGGCCGCTTGGCCCCGGCACAAGGCACAATGCTGGGATGTGTTTACACCACGTAAGCACCGTTTCCTGGAGCCCCGTCCACGCCGGGTGATCCTGCCGGTGACTCAGCCCGGCTGCTGCGTAAGCTCTGTCCCAGCACTCAGGTATGTCTGAGCCCTGCGACGTCCCGCCTGCCGGCCACGAGGATGGGATCTGCTCACACGGTGCAGCCACGGGACAGCAGACACGGCCCTGGGCACAGGAGGGGCCGAGCTGGTGGCCGAGGCTGGCCCGTGGCACAGCCCCAGTGCAGGGCTCCTGAAGGGCTGAGCGAGTCCTGCCTTCCCCCAGCACGTGCCAGGGTGAGGAGCTGCAGGAGCAGGGCACTTTGAGGCGTGGGTAGGAAAGGGTCTGCAGGTGCTCCCTCTGGGAGTGCAGCGGGCTGCCGAGACACTGCTCACCCCCACGGCACTGAGAGAAAACCTCTGTCCTGTGCAGAGCCCTGGCTGGGTACAGATGCCCAAGGGAGAGGAGAGGATTCAATTCTCCTGGGGCTGTTCTTGGCCCTAGAAGTGCCTGTCCTCGGCTGCTAGGGGCAGGAAATAGGCGTGGGAATAAAGCCACAGCTGTGTCTGGCTGGCGAGCAGTGCAGGGCCTGGCTGAATGCAGGGATGTGGGTGATCCCCTGGGAGCAGGTCAGCCCCCAGAACCCCCCCAGAGCCCCTGCCTGTGCGGAGCAGGCTGTGCCAAGGTGCTTTGTGCCCAGGCCCCAGTCTGCAATCTCCACACTGTAGGCATTGTGCCTGGCATCGTGAGCAGTGCTCCCGCCCCCGGGGATCCCCAGCTGCTGGGAAAAGGATTTCCTTGGGAATCAGCCTGGAGCAGAGGGATGGTGAGTGTGCCGGCCCGGGCTGTGGGCATGGCACAGTCCCAGAGGCTATTCTGGGGCCACTACGTGTGGCTGTGGCATGCGTGCTGCCAGCAGTGCCACGGCCTGCCCAGGCACCCGCTGCAGCTATGCAAGGAATGCCCACGCGCAGGGGTGGCCGCCTGCCAGGCCCTGCCGAGGCACATCCCTGAGTTTGGGGCTCCCAGCAGCACA